CTCACATTGGCTCATTCTGCTGTTTAGACTTTCAATGGAGTTTTTAATCTCCTGGAAATCTGTTTGCATCTGTTGTATGGATTCAATTTGTTTCCTATGTTGGGATTCCATCGTGTTCCTGAGCTCCTCTCTATATTTATTAATCATGTCTTGCACGATGACCATAATCTCTGCTGTTATATGAGAAATTATTTCTGATTTCATTTTTTCCAGATCCTCTTTTGTTGCCAGTTCAGGGAGTCCTGGTGTTTGTGTATCAGAGTGTTCCATCTCATTTCCCTTTGGGGTTGCTGTAGGTGATCTGCAAGTCTGGTTTTGAGACTTGTTTATGTGTCTTCTCATTTCGATGGGGGTGTGGGTTGGTGTGGGGGGGGTGCTGCTGGCACCAGCACAGCTCATGTAGTGTGTGCTGGCGGGGGTGGTACAGTGGCCCAGAGGCCTCCTCTTGTTCATTTGTCCTCTGGTTCATTTCCTGTGTGCTTGGGAGAGTCCAGAGCCTGTGTTCTTGCTGAGTTCCTTGAGCAGCTCATCAGCCCCAAGGACCATCTGTACATACTACTTTAGAAAGATCAGCCCCTGTTTGCAGACACTGTGTTCAGGTTTCCAGAGCATGCAGCCATGTGCCTTCCTAACCACCACAGACCTCAAAGCACATTTTTCTCCCTTTATACACCTTCTGGATGCTTAGCACCCTCATTACCCACCAGAAAAATGCTTTCCTCAGTACAAAACAAAATGGCAGCAAGACCGATTCAGAGGTGCTACTAGCTCCTACTTGACAAAGGAAGGAAAGAAGGAAGGAAGGAAGGAAGGAAGGAAGGAAGGAAGGAAGGAAAAATAACTAGGACTTCTACTATTTCCTTTAATGACAGATGGGCCCTGGATATTACAGAACTGGAAAGGGTAATAGATGAGTAATTAGAGATTAGACCAATTTTACCCAGATCTCCTGGGGTGGAGGGTGGGTTTCAGTCAAAGTTGCCTTTAAATACCCCAGTGGCTGGGCCAGGCGTTTGATTGTGCTCACTGCTTTCCTGGCTCCTCTCTTCCCTCTTTCTACTTCCTCCCATTCATGCATTGAGTAGAATGTGTGGCATTCTCAGAAGGACTGTTAGATTCTAGAGATTAGAGCAGAGGACACATAATTGCTTGGCTACCATCTCTCAGCTGAGGGAGTAGTCCGGTCCTATCAGGCATGACACACAGGGGGTGCTAGGTGAATCACAGAGCTGAAAGCAGCCACACCCACTGTGACCCACTACAACATTCTGTCTATAGGCAAGGGAGCAAAGGGAGGATCAGAGGGCACAGGCTTTTTCAAGGTGACCCAGAGATGTCTTCCTCCCTTTCCACTCAGCTGCAGTGCCTCTTTTCTTGGTGCCAAAAGCACAGGAATGAACAATTCAGTTTCAGTAGTAACTGCAAGAATAGCAACAACAAACCTCCAGGAACTTTATTTACTCAAAACTCACTGCGATTAAGTAACAAGGTTAAGAACTCATACAGTATTAGACTAAATTAAATATATGTGTTAGTTCCATTATCAGGTCTGCAACTTAGAATGTATCTCATCACATCTCGGAATTTGTTTTCTCTTCTGTAAATGAGGTGTTTGGAAGCCTTTCTGAAGACATCTTTTTGCTATAAATCAGGCTTCTGGAAGGTAGGAGTCAGGTCTTACCATTTCTCTATCCCTAGCACACAGCAGATTCAGTATGAAAAGGAGCTCAGTAAAGTGCGTGTCAAGCAAATGACCAGTGAATGAATGAATGACTTAAGTAGAATAGTGAATAAATGTATCTAACATGGTACCCAGAAAACAAAACTCAGACCAAAAGGACCACAAGCAGGAGATTTCAGAGTTCAGAGAAGCTGAGAAAAAGGCAGATGACTATGGGCGGTAGTGAGCTCACAACTGCTAGAGAAATTCAAGCACATGTAAAAAAAAAAAAAAATGTGTGCTGGAAGGGAAGTGGGAACATGTGATCTCTTGATCCCTTCCAATTAGCCTGAAGTCTCATTGTTAAGATCGCTTACTGTGTCTTCCAAACAACTCAGCTTGCTTTCCTTACTCTGAATCCAATTTGGAAATATCTACTCCCCTGAGATCCTTGAAGTCTTCTTAGACTTTTTTTTAAAAGAGTGAACAAAGTGCCCAGAAATGATGGGCTTGGTACAGTCCAGAGTACAGCCCAGGGCTGCTCTCCTCCTGAAGGCAGGCATTGACCATGGGCATCCTGGGGACTGGGCAGACCAGTTGGCCCTGTAAGCATGGGGCGGTAATAATGGGGATAGAATGTCCTTGACTTCAGTGTATCAGATGAGCCAAAGCTTACCAGAAATCGAGCTCCATCAATGTGGTACTTCCTCACGGCCTTCTCACAGTCCCTGTAGTTCAGCTGCATAGAGAGGGGAGATGCTGTCAGCTAAGTTGGGCCTTATAGCCTCCTGCCATTGGTTCCTTTCCCCTGCCTGCCCCAGAAGCTCAGCAATTTTCGGTACTTGAGGCTAGCCAGCCTACCCACCTTTCTCCCCTGTCTGACAGAGAGGTCTCGCCCCACCTTAGCTCAGTTCTCATTATCTGCCTCTAGGACTGCCTAAAATGGAGAAGGCTCTGGAGGCCAACCCCTCCAGAAAGACACTGCCTTCAAGGCCAGTGAGGGGCTGGCTGTATACTCCCTAGAAAAATAGAGAGGAGCTGGCAGAAGAAAACATGTTATCTGTCCATCCCCCACCAAAGCAGCCTTGGTAAATACTGTGATGTGTTTCCTTTGGTCCTTTTTTCCTAGCATATTTCTAAACATAATGAAAGTTATATTCCATATTGTTTCCCTGATTTTTTTCTCTCAAATTACCTAAAATGGTAATATAAGAACTGCCTGGTGTTGTGATAAACTTACTTTAATGGTCACAAAATTATTTAATCACTCCCTTATTACTGAACATTTAGTTTGTTTACCAAATTCCTGTTCCAATAATGATAATAAAAACTGCTAATTTTACAGAATGCTTTCTACATGGAAGGCACTGTTCCAAGTTTTTAAACCAATTTTAAGTACTTTACTCCTCACACTTTGCCAATGAGGAATGAGAGGCTCAGAAAGTCAAGTAGCTTGTGTAAGTCTCCATGGATTAGTGACAATTGATCTTCAGGACATGGCTTTAAACGTCTCTGTCAGGAAAATTCCCTTTGTAAAAACTATTACTTACATATACTAAGTAAACTGAGAAAATATAAGTACAGCTTAATACAGGTACCATCCAAATTAAAATATAGAGCATCATGAATTTTCTTTTGCATATTTTTTTCTCTCTATTTAAGAAAATCAGCCAGGCATGGTGGCATACACCTATAATCCCCACACTGGGAAGGCTGAAGCAGGAGGATCACCACAAGTTTGAGGCCAGCCTGGGCTACATAGTGGTTCAAGGCTAACATGAACCATGCAGTGAGACCTTGTCTCAGAAAACAAAAACCAAAAACAATAAAGAAAGAAAGAAAGGTATTCAAGTAAGATTATCAAAATAGAGTTAGTTATAGGTTCAACAGGGCTGAGCATTTTTAGGGTCTTGGTTACTTTCCATAATCAATCGGCTATCATATGAAGTGCTTATTCCACCCTCCTCAGGAGAATATGTATTTGCATTTGCATTATCTCTGAGTTTGATGGCTGGAGTATTTAAGGTTAAATATTTACCTTAAGGATTCCAGCTTTTCCTCACAGATATAGGCCTCACAGTCTGTCGTAGATTACTTTGGGATAATTTAAAATAAAGTTCTTGCCTTATGGCCAACAAATGTAAAAAGTCAATACAGTTGTCTTCACCTCTTGATGTGGAAGGGTGAAGTGAATACCATACTCATAAGACTGATTTAGATGTCAGTTCTGGAAGCACGCAGCATCTATGGGGCCCTGGGACCTCTTTGATCTATGTGCACAAAGAGTATGTGGTTCTTGGAATAGTCAACTGCTTTTAATTCAGCGTTTTCACTGTCATCATTATCAGATGAACTGTCAGTTTTGCAGAGTGCTGGCTTTGACTCTAGACTGACAGACAGCCCTGTAGACTGGAACCTAGATGTTTGATTCCGATGCAGTAAGATCGGGGCCTAAGGCCTAGAATTTGTGTTTTTAACAAGCAGTGTAGGTGATCCTTGTGAGCATAGAGGTTTGGTGTGCACTGATCTAGAGCAATTAGCTGGCTTTGTAGATGGGACTGAGGTCCAGAGAGGGGACCTCAGCCTAAGGTCAAACAGTGAGTTGGGAACCCAGATGGGATTAGAACACATGGCTGCAAGCTTGTGACTCTGAATCCTCCCTGGTCTCTGATCCATCTCTCTGTTCTGATGAGAACTCGACCTATAGAATCTGTTGTTCAACTGAATTGTGTAATTCTGATTACACTTGAAGATGAGACCTGTCTGTGCCTCTCTACCTCTTCCAGAATTTCCTTCCATAATTTTTTTTTTTTTTTGGTACTGGGGATCAAACTCAGGACTTTGTGCTTGCAAGGCAGGTGCTGGAACCACTGAGCTAAATCCCTGGCCCTCCTTCCATAATTATTGATTCCTTTTTCCTTTTGATTGCATCTTGCCAAATTTCACTTATTTGCCCTAATTTATTTGGTCTATATTTAAGAAAAGTACTTAGAACATTCTTCAAGCCAATTGTCCAACAACCTTTGCATCCACAATGTTAAAAGTTATGTTTATGACTTTGTGCAGAAAAAAAAATAACAGAAATGAAATGCACAAAAGAAGCAAATAACAAGATCTGTGGACTGTCCTCCTACTTTGCCATACCTGGTTCAACGTGCTCACATTTCCTTCTGTAAATTGGAGAACAGTTGCAACTGTAAATACCATGGCACTAAATAGATCCTAGGTTTGAGTACGTGTCCTAGGTAACCTATTCTACCCCCTCAATTCTCAGTTTCTCCTGAAAAAACAAAAAGTTGAATTAGATAACTGCTAAGGTCTTAGCTTCACAATATCCTGTCCATGGCAGCCTGGAATATCAACTGCATTTTATGCCACCTTTCAGGCATGAGAGCATTAAAAGCTCAAATTTCTCTTGAAAGGTGTTTTACCCTATGTCAGGGATAGAGTGCCTAATCAAGTCATATGGCTTGAGATCTGTCCCAACAGATGTGTGGTCTTCATCAGTACATAACAAGCACAAGGACCATTGAGTACCTCCTCCAAACTTGAAAGATAGAACAGTAAAACTCTGCTCTTTTCTCTGCCACATGCTTGGCTTCTGATTCTGCCTGGCCAAGCCTCTTCCCCTGTAAGGACCTCAGTTTTCTAAGCTATATATTGGTGCTCATACCAGTTTTCTTTCCTGCGTCTCAAGACAAGATTGCCATAAACCTCTACAGGGATTCTGATTGCTGTAAGAACTTGAGACCTCTTTCATGATCATGAGCAATGAATGTCCAAATGCTGTATGAAAAACCATTCATCACAGCCTTTTTATCTATCCCTCTTACTGTGCTTTGTCTCCTACCCTCAGGGCTCTGTGTCTCCCCTTTCTAGCAAGAAACCTTTATTATATTAGCTATTATACTCTATATCTCAGAACATGAACTTTGAAACCAGACAGGTATGGTTCAGATCCTGCCTCTATTGCATGTAGTGTCTGGGACTTTGTACGATTTAACCTCCATAAGCTGATTTTGCGGCTGGGCCAACAGGACAACACTAATCTCTTAAGACAGCGGGAATGTTCAATGGGACAATGCCTGTAGAAAAATTAAATTTAGACCTTGGCACATAGTAGAGACACACTCATTTGAAAGCTTTTTTTTCTATCCATCTCTGTAGAACACGTTGGCAGGAAAATTTAGCGGTCTACTTGACATTCACTCAACCAGTTAAGTTGCCGCAGAGTGAGTGCAGTACTCTCCTATTGCTCTTTTACGTCTCCCATATTCCATCTGGATTCTATCTTCAAGCCTCTACCCAGTCCACTGAAAGTACCACCAGCCCAACCGCTAAAAAAGAGCAAGGCTCACCTTTTTGAAATAGTCAGCAAGACTGTCAGGGTCCCAGGCCAGGACCTCTGAGCGAAAGGGCACATTCTTCAGGGCCATGGCCACTGTTCTGGAGGAAGCTCACAAGCTAAGCACAGGAACCACACCCATGAACAGAGAAGAACCCCAGATCCAGATTTTGGAGGTGTACTTGGTTCTTCCAATTCCCAGCTAGCCTCAGGAACAGCCTTGTTGGATCAGACGTCTTTTCTACTGCAGCCAAATCCCAAAAAGCAACTGCTTCCTCTGCGAACAAATATGGTCTCTTCTCAGAAAACGACTCAGCTAGTTTCCTTTACCACTTCCTCTGCTGGGTTCTAAATAAGTAAACAAGGAAGCCCAGCGCTGGGGGCTTGAAATGCTGAGAGACAGGGTTGGTAATTCCCATTGGTCCCAGTCACCCCAGCCTACTGGGAGGGGCAATGAAGAGGACTCAAGTTGCAAAGTCAGTCCAGTTATATTTCTATGAAAACTTCTAGCACCCATAGTTCTCCACCATATTACTGCTTGGCTGAGTCTTTGCAGATAAAAATCTATTTTGACAGTTGACCTAAAATATAGGCAATTTCTCACATGAGTGAACTGTGGTGGGAAGGAGCATGGTCCTTTAATGCTTTCAAACCTCTTTTCCCTCCCACTCCTCAGTTTCTATCAAAAGTTGAAATGCCTTCAGCTGCCTCTTTACTGTAATGCTAAGTGAGTCCTTGGTGGATGAGTGAGCCAAGCACCCAGAGTTAAACAAGTTGCCACAGTGGAGTGAACTAAGCTCAATTTCTTTCTTTCTTTTTTTTTTTTTTTTTGGTACCGGGGATTGAACTCGGGTCCTTCTGCTTTCGAGGCAGGTGGTGAAACCACTGAGCTAGATCCCTGGCCCTACTAAGCTCAATTTCTGATGGGAATGCTTCCACACTGTTACAATCTTAGGCAAGCACTGGAAATCTAAGTAACTCAGTTTCCATATTTGTGAAGAGGAATTATACTTGTAAAACTTGGATGCATTTAATTGGATATACTTAAAGGGAAAAACTGTAATTTAACAATGCTACCGATGGTACTATATATGCTACTATGTTTCCACCCTATGTTGCATTTGCTACTGCTTCCCTCCACATATTCTGTATGCTATCGATTCTAGGGCACATTTCCTGGAGATAAGAGATGGAAATCTCTTTTTTTCATCAGTCTCAGATTCTGTGCACGTCTCATAAATTGAGCAATCCAACTGGTAATTGCTGAGTCCTATATCTAAAGGCAAATGTATTTGTGCAATACGGCAGCCTCTAAACACAAGTTAGCTACTTTGTCTAGTGCTCCATGTGTACACACACAGACACAGACACACACACACACACACACACACACA